AGGACCTTCTAACTACAACACCAGAGACACTCCAAGTGGCCAGCAACCGCTCAAAGGACATTTAGTGCAATGCCAAGTTTTTAAAACTTTGTGTTTTTTAAAAAATACATTACAACTGTAGCCTGGGTTCGCTTCTGATACGATAAATAAATAAATATCCTTCCGGATCTTATTTCGAATTAATCCTCCGAAGGACATGGTTTAGCTCGCACGCAACAAGGGGGATGTGGAGACCCAAAGGGACATAATGGCGAGGCGAGGAATGAATCATTAATGAAGAACGCAGCCGGAGGGGCGGCGGATCTGAGAAGATGAAGGGGAGGACGGGTCACTATTGGGTCTCCTTTCTTGTTGTGTCCCCCCCCTCCCGAATCTTCTTCCTCCTCCTCCTCCTCCTCCTGAAGAAGGACGGAGCACCATCTGCCTCTTAATGGGTGGCTTCATGCGCCCAGAGTCAGGCTCTGAACATCCAAGTCGGATCGGAGGACGCCTTCTCTTCAGTGCACGTCTTGAAAAAGCTTAAGGAAACAAGGTCGTGCTCGTCTTGCAGGTGTCTCATGAACTATTGGTTATTCTTCCAGGTCTCAGTGTGGGGGGCATTGCAAAACAGGTGCTTTCAAAGCGGGGTTTCTTTTCAGGGAAGAGGTTTGGGTTGGATTGTAAACTCCAAGGCGCTTTTCTTCTTCCAGAAGTACAAGTTCCTCGGTCTGAAATCAGCTTTTTTTTTTCTTCGTGTCAGGAGCGACTTGAGAAACTGCAAGTCGCTTCTGGTGTGAGAGAATTGGCCGTCTGCAAGGACGTTGCTCAGGGGACGCCCAGATGTTTTTGGTGTTTCACTATCCTCGTGGGAGGCTTCTCTCATGTCTCCGTTTGGGGAGCTGGAGCTAACAGAGGGAGCTCATCCGCACTCTCCCCAGATTCGAATCTCTTGCTCAGGAGTCCTCAAACTAAGGTCCGGGGCCGGATACAGCCCTCTAAGATCATTTACCCGGCCCTCACTCAGGGATCAGGAATGTAGAGGGGGGGAGGCTTGAGGGGCTTCAGCCCCCACCCCCGAAATTCTCATGGTGGTTCGCGAAAAGGCCTTACTGGTGCATTATTTAAACTGTTATGTTTATTCATATCATGATCTGATCACCATACTCAATATATCCCATATGCATGTGGGTATTGGGGTAATGATACAAAAGGTTTGCTAGGGTAGACCCTCTTTCACTCAGACTCAGCCCCCCGAACCAAACCCCCCCCCCCCCCCCCCCCAAAAATCGAAATCCTGGCTACGGGCCTGCTCAGGGTCAAGCAAAGTCTGAAACGATTTGAAAGCACACAACAACAACAACAGTCCTATCTCATCAGCCAAAAGCAGGCCCACACTTCCCACTGAAATACCAATAGGTTTATATTTGTTAAAATTCTTCTTCATTTTAATTATTGTATTAAGTGTTTTTTGCACTACAAATAAGATATGTGCAGTGTGCATAGGAATTCAATTTTTTTTCATATTATAATCGCCAACCATTTGGGGGACTGTGACCTGGCCCTCTGTTAAAAAGTTTGAGGACCCCTGCTTTTGCTGGCACTGCGCCACCGGGGGCTCCTAATCAGCTGAAAGAATAGCATTCCCGACTTCTCGGTTTCTAGAAAAGCTCTTGTGTTTCCCGGCCATGTTCCAGAAGCATTCTCTCGTGACGTTTCGCCTGTATCTATGGTAGGCATCCTCAGAGGTTATGAGACCTCACAATCCCCGAGGATGGCTGCCACAGACCTCACAGACTGTGGCCTCACCAAACTGCAAATCTCAGGAGTCAAGAATTAAGCCAACTGCATTATTTCTGCAGTGGAGATGCTTCCTTAGAATCATAGAATCCTAGAGTTGGAAGAGACCTCATGGGCCATCCAGTCCAACCCCATTCTGCCAAGAAGCAGGAAAATGCATTCAAAGCACCCCCAACAGATGGCCATCCAGCCTCTGTTTAAAAGCCTCCAAAGAAGGAGCCTCCATCACACTCCAGGACAGAAAGTTCCACTGCTGAACAGCTCTCACAGTTAGGAAGTTCTTTCTAATGTTCAGATGGAATCTCCTTGAGCAGCACCCTTCTGGAGGAAGGACCCAAGTTTGCCCAGGCCTGATCTACACTATAGAATGAATGCAGCCAGTGACAAACCACCTCTGAGAATCCTTTGCCGAAGAAAACCCCAATAATTGCAGGCTGCGAAATCATAGGAGTTGTAGTTTGACAAGGACTTGAGTCTTCTCCACCAATGAGCGCTGTGGCATCACCAAACTGCAAATCCCAGGAGTCTAGCATTGAGCCAACTGCATTATTTCTTAAGCAGCTGAGGGGGAAAAGGAAAAGGCCTGAGACCAGGAATTGTGGGAGTTGAAGTCCAAAACACCTGGAGGGAGGGCCCAAGTTTGCCCAGTCCTGATGTAGATGCTCCCCAAGCATTTCCTGAGTCTGGTGGGAACCTGGACTGTATGCATAAAGATATGTGTGTCTGCATGTAATTTTGATCAATCCTTTCATATATGTGTGTATGTCATTTTTATTCTTGAACAGCTCCATCCATCCATCCATGTCTATCACACACACATGCATCACTCCTGGGTCCTCAGGTACTGCAGAAGCCAAGCCTGTTTCACCCATTAAGCGGACAATAGGGAGGAGAGGGAAGAGGAGGCAGGGGGTGCTTCGGCTTCAGGGGAAAGGGAGTTCCAGTCCTGTCCGCCCTGGCCCCTGGGCTCGACTGGGCAGCCCCCTCCCCTCCGCCTTCATTATTATGGGAGACTAGACAACCCGTGATATGTTATGACATGAACCCTCAATTAGATCACGGAGTTGGAATACTCCAATCAGGGCCTGGATGCTAAGCAACCCTCGGAAGGTCCAAGCACCAGGTCACAGCCTGTGACACATCACATCAAAATCAGAAGGGGAGGAAATGGAGGAGGAGGAGGAGGAGAAAGGAGGAGGAGGAAAAGAAGAGGAGCACCAGGGGGAAGTAGAAGTAAAGGAGGAGGAGGAAAAGTGGAGGAGGTGGTGGCGGAGATAGAGGTAGTGGCGGAGAATGGGGAAGCAGAAGAGGAGGAAGTGGAGGAAAAAGAGAAGAGAAAGAAGAGGGGCAGGAAAGGGAGAAGAAGAGAAGGAGATGGAGAAGACAGAAGATGAGGAGGAGAAGGGGAAAAAAGGAGAAGTGGGGGAGAAATAGAAGAGAAGGAGGAGGAGAAAGAGAACAGGAGAAGAAAAAGAAGGGGAAAGAAGAGGAGGAGGAGAGAGGAAGCAAAGGGGAGGTGGTGATGGAGGAGGATGGAGAAGTAGCAGAGGAGGAGAGGGAGGAGGAGAGAGAGAAGAAGAAGAGGAGGAGGTGGAGGAAGAGAAGGAGACGAGAAAGAGGAAGAGGGGAAAGGGAGAAGAAGAGGAGGAGGGAGGAGGAAGAGGAGAGAAAAGAGAAGGAGGAGAGAAGAAAGGAGGTGAGGAAGTGAAAAGGAGAAGAGCGAGAGGAGAAAGAGGAAGGAATTGAAAGAGGAGAAAGAGAACAGGAGAAGAAAAAGAAGGGAAGAGGAGGAGGAGAGAGGAGGAAAAGGGAGGAGGTGGAAGAGGAGGATGGGGAAGTAGAAGAGGAGGAGAAGGAGGAAGATAAGGAGATGAGGAAGAGAAGGAGAAGAGAAAGAAGAAGAGGAGGAAAAAGAGAAGAAGGGGAGGAGGAAGGAGAGAGAGAACAGGAGGTGGAGGAGGAAAATAAGGAGAAGAGGAGAGGAGAAAGAGAACAGGAGAAGAAAGAAGGGGAAAGAAGAGGAGAAGGACCGAGGAGGAGGAAAAGGGGAGCAGGTGGTGGAGGAGGAGGATGGGGGAAGTAAAACGGGAGATGGAGGAAGAGAAGAAGAGGAAGAGGTGGTGGAGGAAGAGAAGGAGAAGAGAAAGAAGACGGTGAAGAAAAGGAGGAGGACGAAGAGGGGGCGGAGAAAACGGAGGGGAAGAGATGGAGGAAATGAAGGAGAAGAGGAGAAAGAGAACGGAAGAAGAAAAAGAAGGGGAAAGAAGAGGAGGAGAGAGGAAGAAAAGGGGAGGTGGTGATGGAGGAGGATGGGGAAGTAAAAGAGGAGGAGATGGAGGAAGAGAAGAAGAGGAAGAGGCGGTGAAGAGAAAGAAGAGGGCGAGGAAAGGAAGAAAAGGAGGATGAAGCGGGAGGAAACGAAAAAGGAGGGGAGGAAGATGGAGGAAATGAAGGTGAAGAGGAGGAGAAAGAGAAGAAGAGGAGATGAAAGAGGAGAAAGAGAACAGAAGAAGAAAAAGAAGAGGAGGAAGAATGAAAAACGGGCAGAAATGACCAGGAAGCGGCATCCACCCCTAAGGGAGCTCCTCCGAGGTGCGGCGACCACTTCACCCCCACCGTGTGCGGCCACTGTAACCACTCCCTTCCCCAAGAAAAGGGTCCCCAGAAGCGAAGAAGCCAAGGAGGATCGGGGCCAAATTTGCTAAACTTCTGAGCCAACCTCCGGCGCTGGGCTTCCGCTACACAACGAGTCGGGCGTTCAAATTGTGTTTTCTTCAAGGGGAAGGGAGCTAAATTGGAAAGACCCATTTTCTGACTGTCAAAAGAAAGGGAGAACCGAAGCCTAAGTTCTACAACAAAACAATCCGCCCCGAAGCCGCAGACATTGGGGTTGGAGCCGCATACTCGTCTCCGTTTGGTGTTAAATCAGGTGCACCCTCGATTCGCCGCCTCTTCTGTCGTTCAGCCCTCCCTAATTTACTCCAAGTAGATAGATAGGAGGTTCCGAGGCCTTAATCCACCTTCTCTTGGCAAAGGAAAAGATGGGATAGAGGAGGCATAGGCAAACTTGGGCCCTTCAGGTGTTTTGGACTCCAAACTTAAGCGGCTGAGGGGGAAAAGGAAGGGGCCTGAGGCTGTTCGGAATGGTGGGAGTTGGAGTCCAAAACACCTGAAAGGCCCAAGTGTGCCTATGCCTGGTATGGGTCGGAAGAGACCTGCCTTACCTCTCCCTCGGTCCACGAAGCTTGTGACGGTATTGGCGGCTTTGGGCGCCCGGGAGAAGCTGGCGTTTTTGCCCGCGGAGGAGGAGGTCCGGTAGAGGGACAGCATGTACTCGGGGGGCTCCACGCGCGGCGAGGCAGCCTCTCGCATGCCGGCTTCGGGGGTCTCCCGGAAAGGAGGCGAGGAGGAGGAGGAAGAGGAGGGCAAGGAAGAGGGGATGGTGGCCGGGCGGCCGCAGGGCAAGTGGCCCCAGAGGAGGCAGGAGGCGAGGGACACGGCGGAGAGCAGAGCCCGGGCAGCATGCATGACGAGCGGAGGAGCCAGGCGCGCCCGCTCCGCGCAGCTCCCTCCGGCCGTCTGTCTGCCTGCCGCCCCCAGCGCGCGGCCCGCCAGGGCAGGACAGGGGCCCCCGCGCCGGACACGCCCACCCCGTAAGACACGCCCCCTTCGCTCAGAGGGGAGGGGGCCCCTCCGAGCGCCTCGCCCAATCAGATGAAAAGGTGGAATGGGCTTCTTCTGTGCGCAAACGAGGCTGCATCTTCTACACCAGGGGTCCTCAAACTTTTTAAACAGAGGGCCAGGTCACAGTCCCGCAAACTGCTGGAGGGCCGGATTAGAACTTGAAAAAAAATATTTATTTATTTATACTAGCTGTCCCCTGCCACGCGTTGCTGTGGCCCACATGGGGGTTCTGTGTGGGAGGTTTGGCCCAATTCTATCGTTGGTGGGGTTCAGAATGCTCTGTGATTGTAGGTGAACTATAAATCCCAGCAACTACAACTCCCAAATGTCAAGATTCTATTTTCCCCAAACTCCACCAGTGTTCACATTTGGGCATATTGAGTATTTGTGTAGAGTTTGGTCCAGATCCATCATTGTTTGAGTCCACAGTGATCTCTGGATGTAGGTGAACTACAACTCCAAAACTCAAGGTCAATGCCCACCAAACCCTTCCAGTATTTTCTGTTGGTCATGGGAAATTTGTTCAATTCCATCATTGGTGGAGTTCAGAATGCTCTTTGATTGTAGGGGAACTATAAATCCCAGTAACTACAACTCCCAAATGTCAAGGAGGGTTGAAAATTTCGGGGGGGGGGGGTTGAAACCTGCCTCCTAGCTCACACTGAAGCAAAGAGCACAGCAGGGGGCAGAGCAGCCTTCAATAGCCTGCAGCTCCGCCCCTGTCAACCACCTCCACCAAGTCTGGCCTCCTTAATGAGAGCATTCAACACTCCCCCCCCCCCCCAACTTGGTTGCTTCGCTACATCAGCTATTGTCAGGCCCTTTCCGGTTTACAGCATGAAATTCAAATACAATATCTACTCACATGGCTGTTTTCGAAACTGCTACGTAGGCAGAAGCTGGGCTAAAGGCCAGGATCTCACCCTGACTAGGGATTCGAACTGTCAACCTTTTGGTTAGCAAGATTTACTGCAGCTGGCAGTTAACCTGCTGTGCTAAACCTGCCAGGTGAAGTGCCAGCACTCTTTGGCAGAGGAAGCTCCAGAGCTTGCAAAATTGTGCTCAGTTAGCTGGCCTGCCAGAGGAAAATTGACTTCTATGCACAAGCAAGGCACAGGGTGCAACTACCCTGTAAAATTAATGTAATTTGATCCCACTTGAACTGCTGTGGCTCGATCCCATGCAATCCTGGGAGCCCCATCAAACTACAAATCCCCAGATCCCATAGTACTGACCAGTTAAAGGGAATTCAAGCTGTGTTTATTCTACACCATAGATTTTCCCCCTGGATTTTGAGATGTTGGGGAACAAAGCTAAGATCTTTTGAATGTAAAGCATTTTCTCTTCCAGCAGGCCTTCCCAAATTATTTTCTTGAATATGTATTGATTACACCAGACATGGGCAAACTGGGGCTCTCCAGATGTTTTGAACCAACTCCCACAATTCCTAACCGTCTCAGGCTCCTTCCTTTCCCCCCTCAGCCTCTTAAGTGGAAAAAGAAAAAGGAAAGGGCCTGACGCTGTTAGGAATTGTGGGAGTTGAAGTCCAAACCACCTGGAGGGCTGAAGTTTGCCCAGGCCTGGTCTAATGCCTAGCCATATGGAGCTGAGGGTTCTGAGAGATATAGGCCACAAAAGAAACTTTTCCCAGCTCTGATTTAGTGTTAACCAAGCAGGTTTGGTCTCTTAATCTATTGTGGACTACATGAAACATCCTGGAGAGGCCAGGAATAACTATTCAGACTTCTAAAATACAATGAAATACTGTCAACTGTTTGAGACCCTATATTGAGTGAAAAGTCAAGGCTGTGGTCAATAGACCCAGAAGTGTTCTTGCCACATCAGTATTTGCTCTTCTAAAATCTATAAAACCAACACTAAAGAGAGACCTCGGCAAGCAGACAGTACCAAACTAAGAGCTCAGAAGTGGTCAAAGGTTGGTGAAAACCAAGTCAGAATGAAGAAGCAGATAAGAACGATCCCGTGAGGCACATGAACTTATCTTTGTCCTTTGAAACAAAACATACACACCAAACCACAAACAACTGAAAGTACCCACAGCAGTTAGCAATCCAAAAATGCGCAAGGGAAGAACAAAATTTTGATTAAGCACAACACAAAAGCCATTGGAATAACCACCACTCTTATATATAGACCCAATACAGAGAAAAGCACTCCAAAACCAGATCTGCTCACATGTTTTAATTACTAATGAGAGGAAACAAGAAATCTTTCCTTAATAATGAGTTCCAGAGTCTGGAGCTACTACTAAAAAGGCCTTTTATCTTTATAGAAACTAAGAGGAAACGAAGGTGGGTTTCCTCTTCTTGAGCCCTTGGTCTGTAGCTCTTCATCATTAGAAACACCTTCCTTTTGAGGGTTTGCTATTCACAAATACACTGAATGATGAGTTTCTTTGTCCAAACCCATCCTATGTTTTCTAATAGTTGGGAGACACACTGGCAGAGACATCAGATATCGCTATATTTCATCCCCCAGGTTGCCATATCATATGCTACAGAGCTGCCCCAGAAAGCATATGAAATGATGTGACAGCTGCACATAGTTTGCCACATGTGACAATTAGAGGCCTGGAGACTGGGCCTCCATGTATATTTCTCTATGAGTTTGGACACTGAACAAATGGGACTCCTGTGTACTCCACACACCATTCTTATACTGAACTTGCTTCCTCAGAGGATATGAGCCCCCACACCTATTTGTCTGTTTTCTTGGAGACATTTTATTTCTGAGTTGCTCTCAATCAGAGGGAATGGGCACCTTGCAATGTTTACTGCCATCTAGAGATGGTTGCCCAACCACTTTTCTTGTTCCTCCAATTCAGCTGAATAAACATAAAGAAAAAAAAAACGTGGTCAACTCTAAAACTTGGCAGCTTCCACTCTAGGTTTAAATTCAAACTTTAAAGGAGAGCTTGATTCTTGAAAGATATTCAGCACTTTTAATAGCTTCTTCTTCCCTGATCCATCTGGGAAGCCCCATTATTCAAATATCATTCAAGTGACCCTGCAGATAGAAGCTGGATCATAATGAAATGTGATGATTCATGTGGGATAGATTAACATAAGAGCACAAAAGGTACCCTGCTTGGATCAGACTGAAAGCTGAACTAGTTCACACAGGGAGCAAATAGATGTTATGGGAGTTTTGTGAACATGTTCCCTCCACCTTGCATTTCCAAGCAACTGATAGAGACACATGACCTCTGATAGTGAAAGGAACATACAGACATCATGCCTAGTAGCCATGGATGAATAGATCTAATCCAGGCATGGGCAAACTTAGGCCCTCCAGGTGTTTTGAACTTCAACTTCCACAATTCCCAGCAGCTGGTAGGAATTGCCAGTAGGCTGTTAGGAATTGTGTGAGTTGAGGCCCAAAACACCTGGAGGGCTGAAGTTTGCTCATGCCAATCTAATCCCTTTTCAAATTGGCAAACATCATTACATCTTGTGGCAGAGAATTCCACCACTCTCCTTTGCTGTGAGAGAAGAAATCTGTTCTAAATTTTCCATCATTCTTCTTTCAGATTATAATGTTTTTATAAGACAGAAAGCTTGTCTCTGTCTGTTCCCTCCACAAGGTGATTTATCTAGTATTTCTGATGCATTCCTTGTGGATAAGCCAACTGAAAGATTTGGGATGTTGAAAAAAGCCCTTTTCAAATTGCATCTCAGCAAACCTATGAGGGTGCATGTCCCAGTAAAATCTGAGCAGTAGCAGCAGCAGCAGCTGGCATGTCTCCCAGTTTGCCATTACCACTATGGTGTCCCTAATCACCCATCTGAAGTATAAGAAAATGCTCCAGGCATAGACAGAGCATCAGTCCATCTGACACAATGCTTTCTACATCAGTATGAACTGTGGGTCTCCAAGTTGTTGTTGAACCTCAAATCCACCATCCCTGATCAGTATGGCCAATCACAAGGAATTATAGGAGTTGTAGCCCACCACTTTCTGGAGGCTAAGCATTCTCCCTCCAGGTATATATTGTGTGATAGCATCTCACAAGGGTAGAGGTATGAATGCTTAAGATCTGGAGCCAAATGCAGACTTTAGTGATCACTGGCACAGCCCACTAGGGTCCTCCAAGAATCTCATAATTGCCAAAAGTCAACTAAGGACCCTTTCCGATATGATGGATTGTTGCATGTATAAAATGTGCTTCCCATATATGATACACCTAGGCATATGCTCCATGTACATGCTTAGAAAGAGATCTAGAGTTCTGGAGTCCTAATGTATATGTTCTAAAAGGTTTTTTATATATGGCAGGGATATTATGGCCTTGAGGTCTTATCCGTCCTACCTCCATTATAGAATCATAGAGTAGGAAGAGACCTCATGGGTCATCCAGTCCAATCCCCTGCCAAGAAGCAGGAAAATCTCATTCAAAACACCCCCAACAAATGGCCATCCAGCCTCTGTTTAAAAGCCTCCAACAAGGGAGCCTCCACTTTTCATGGTTCCTCAATTTTTGAATTGGATCCCCACATCCTTTTCTTAAGGACTGCCATGCTGCTCCAAAGGCTTGGTTATCAGCAGGAGGAATTTGAATTTCCACCCTTTTGTCTTTCCATCTCCACTTATTGGAATGGAGTACTTAAAATTACTATGAGGTTGGTTTCAGCCTTCAGGTCACCATTTGTATTCCAGGCTGTCAAATGAGGTTTCTCCCCGCCCAGTCCTTTGTGGACATTTCAAGGGTCAAACACCCAATCTTTTGTATATCCAGTATATATTCTGCACAACAATGGCATCACTATTTCATCTACTCCATCTAACTTTACTCATGGATATCTCATCCTTTCGCTGAGCCACCACAGTGAAGGAAAGTTGCTGCATTTCTCTGTGTCTCTCCTCACTTTATT